GGAAGAGGGACCATGGCCTGTGTGTCCAGTCTCAGCCGCTGGGGGGCAGCAGAGTGCAGGCCGAGAGCCAGTCGGCCGGCCCAGTCAAACCCTTGATGTTCGCGCGCGCCTCCCGCCTCCGTGGCAGCCAGAGCTGCCAGCTCCGTGACGGGTCCACACGGCGGCTACGTGGGCGCCGAGTTCTGGCACACTGCTCGCACCCGAGCCCTTGCTTCTCTGCGCACGCTCCTGGGCGGGGCACCCTCCCCTCTCCCTTCTTCCACGGGCTCAGGCAGTGCCCCCGGAGCTGAGCGGCCTCCTGACTTTACTCCAGGATATTGCCAGGAGGTTGGAAAAGAAAGGGTGGGAGGGTGTGTGTGTGTGTGTGTGTGTGTGTAAATGAGTGTGCGTGTGAGAGGGAGTGTGAGTGAGTGAGTGTGTGTATAGTGGGGTGGGGAGCGAAGAGGAAATCCAGAGACTCAGGGTGCCCCTGAGTTTCACTTAACCTTTTATTATTTTTTTATTCTTAAAATATATTTCCACGGATTTCAGAGAGGAAGGGAGAGGGAGAGAGAGAGAGGAACATCAATGATGAGAGAGAATCATTGATTGGCTGCCTCCTGCATGCCCCCCTCTGGGGATCGAGGCCGCAACCCGGGCATATGCCCTGAACTGGTGACCTCTTGGCTCCTGGGTCATCGCCCAACCGCCCGAGCCACACCAGACTGGAACTTAACCTTTCTTTAAAAAAAAAAGAAAAACTTTTAAATATTTGTAAAATACATAACCATGGTAAAGAAAAATCTAGTCAGTACAAGCACGCACACGCACATGCACACGCACACGCACATGCTCACACTGAAAAGTCTCCCATCACCTCTTGCTTGGAAAAAATAATTGTCTTTTCACTGGTTTCCCTGCCTTTGGTCTCACTAATCCCCATATTCCCCATCACTACAGCCAGAGGATTCTGTCTAAGGGGCAAACCTGACAAGTTAAATCTTTTCCGTGGCTTTCTCCCCTCCTGGTCTGACTCTAGACACCATTCACTCCTCTCCTCCCAGTGTCCGCATGGCTGCAGCCATCTCCTCGGATTATCCAGGCTACTCTCGATCTTGCCGTCATGCCCTTGCCAGTCGTTCCGTGCCTGGCCGAGTCCTACGCATGCTGCACCTGCACCAACGTCCGCGTCCCTATCTGGTGCTCCCTCCACCTCCTGTGCAGCCCTCCTCACAGCTGACACGGAAACTGTTTCCAGGACAGGGAAGGGTTTTTTACTTGATTCAATACCCGATCTCCTCTCCTGGCACAGAAAAGTCACCCAATCAGTTACTTACAGGCATGAATGCATGGTCACGTCTAACACTTATATAGTGCTAATCCCTCGCCTGGCATTATTCCATGGACATCCCATATATAAATTCACGTAAACACACAACAACCCCAAGGTTGCTACATCCTCATTTTACCAACATGGAAATTAAAGCATTGAGCAGTTTAAGTAACTTGCCTCAGACAGCAAGTGGCTGAGCTGGGGTTTGAACTGGGCAGCCTGGTTTCCGGCAAATTAACCAAGAGCTGGAAGGAGAAAGCCAGACCTCAGGGAAGGAATCCAGGGGTTTTGTCTCTGCGCTTTACATCTCAGGATCTTCTCGCCCTCTCCCGTTTCTCTCCCAGGGAGCCCATTTCATAGACCAGGAGACAGAGGGCCGCACGGAGACCGCAGATAACGCCGGAAGCCCCGGGGAGGGAGTCGTGGAGTTTATCTGGGCGCTCGGGAGCAGGGGCATAGCCAGAAGGAGCGGGCACCCGGGTTGAGAGTACTTCGCTCCAAACTACAATTCCCAGGAGGCACCGGGCGCCCACAGCCCACGCGACGTCACCGCGGCTGAGGGCTAGGGCAGCTCTGCTAGCCGGGCCCGGCGGCAGTTGGGCCGTTCCGCTCGGACCCCGGCCCTGGCTCTGG